CGGCACTACTGTGGCACTGCTGAGCACTCACACTCACACCGGAAGTGGGAGTCCACCTCTGTCCAGGGCCTTATCGCCCCGCTCGCCGCCACGCCAACAGGCCCTTATCGCGTCCGAGCGAAACCAGTGCCGGCGCCCGTATTCATGCCCGAAGGCGAGAGGTCCTGGCATCGTAGTGCCCTGGTGCCACAGGGGACGGGAGGGCAAAGAGGGCGCGATTGCGAATCGAGGGTCGGCAATGGAAACACGGCGGCCCCGACTGAGATCACCGTCGACGAGTGAAGACTGGTGTGAACTGACGCAGCCACAGACGCATCCACGGACGCCCGACAGCATTTCTGGACGGAGATGTGCCCCACTAAATCCATCCCGGCGAACAGTGCCCGGTAAGAAGAGCAGTGTTTTCGATCTGTGTTGGGACTACACGCAATGGGGGAATGGCGGCTGTTGTGGCATGAACAAGACAAAGTTGGTGATGGTGCCAAGGACAATCAGGATCGTGGAGGGCCAGAAGAGAGGGAGAAAACACACACACACAATGAGCCTAAACATCCACAAACAACCACACACAAACACCAGCATCCGGTGAGCGAAGCCACAGAGAGAGGGAGAGGGTATGTCACACTACCTTCGAAGAATCCTCCCCCCTACCCCCACCACCACTGCTAGGCCGACGTCTGGAGGAACTGCTGATTCCCTGTGCAGCCTCCTGGTGGAACCCGAAGGTGAGTAGAGGATAGGAATAAGAGAGAGGAGGAGAGGGAGAGAGGGTGAGAAAAGGAGAGAGAGAAGGAAAGGGTAAAGGAAATGAGGAGAGGGGAGGGGGGATAGGGGAGGGAGGGAGGGAGGGAGGGAGGGAGGGAGGGAGGGAGAGAGAAAGAGAGAAGAGAGAGAGAGAGAGAGAGAGAGAGAGAGAGAGAGAGAGAGAGAGAGAGAGAGAGAGAGAGAGAGAGAGAGAGAGAGAGAAGGGGGGGGGGGCTTTCAAAAAATTGAACCAGAGAGAGTTAGGACTGATGGATCATTTAAAATAAAATTATCTGCCGCATCAACAGCTAAGGTCATTAGCGGCGTCTACGCGAGTTAGGAGAAGGAGATGGGAGACAAGAGATGGGATGGGATACAAATAATAAGAGGAATACAGAAGGGCAAAAGAAGAAAATACAAAGATTAATGTCAAACGCTTGTGCTCTCCCCATGTTCCCACAGTGATCGCGTGTTCGCCTGTACCCACATGGAGCAGCTGATCACCCCCCCCCCCCCTCCCCGAGTCAGTGCATGTGTCAGTGCCCCAAAACGAGTACCGGTGCCGTCCGATTCACTAAGCTACTCAAATACCAAGACAGGCGATGCCATAACCATTATCGGTACCGTAACGTAATGAGCTTGAAGTGCCGAAACATAGCGATGCTGTGGCACCGTTGCGGGTGCTAGAGAGAGAAACAGAGATACAGAGAGAGAGAGAGAGAGAGAGAGAGAGAGAGAGAGAGAGAGAGAGAGAGAGAGAGAGAGAGAGAGAGAGAGGGAGAGAGGGAGAGAGAGGGAGAGAGAGGGAGAGAGAGGGAGAGAGAGGGAGAGAAAGGAAGAGAAGGAAGAGAAAGGAAGAGAAAGGGAGAGAGAGAGAGAGAGAGAGAGAGAGAGAGAGAGAGAGAGAGAGAGAGAGAGAGAGAGAGAGAGAGAGAGAGAGAGAGAGAGAGAGAGAGAGAGAGAGCGAAAGAAAGTGAGAGAGAGCGAAAGAAAGTGAGAGAGAGCGAAAGAAAGTGAGAGAGAACGAAAGAACGTGAGAGAGAACGAATGAAAGAGAGAGAAAACGAATGAAAGAGAGAGAAAGCAAGAGAACTTGAGAGAAAAACTAAATAAATGAGAGAGGGAGAGGGTGGAGGGCAAGGTGGTGTCGAGGCGTGGCGCTGGCCTTGAGGGCGCCAGCGTCACGGGAGACAACAGTACAGGGCACCCCCTCCTTCCCTCCTTCCCTCCCTCCCTCCCGCCCTCCTCATATACACACAAACATATTCCCAACATGCAGAACTATGCAGACACGCCCACACACATCATTTCAGGCAGACACAGGGGAAAAAAAGCCCTCAGGCACTCATACATGTGTCCTTACAGACGCAAAATGAAATCACGGACGCAAGCACAAATATCCACACGTACAAGAACACACGTACACCAGACACAACGCCACCTACACCATCCACTCTCGTGAACGTAAACACGAACGCTGATATCCACACACGTACACACGCTCTCCAATTCCATGAGGTAACTAACTCAACCCATCCACCGACCCACCGCCCAACCTATCATAACCCACCTATCATAACCCACCCAACCTATCATAACCCACCCATTTATCCACTCACCACCGGCTCACTGACCGACCACGACCCACCTATTCAACCATCAACTGACCCTCCGACCCACTACGACCCACCTACTCAACCATCCACCCACTGACCCACCTCCTTAACCATCCATTCACCCTCCCACCCACTGACCCACCCGGACCCACATACCCAAGTATCCACCCACACTCCCACCCACTGACCCACCACGACCCACCCACTCAACCATCCACCCACCCTTCCACCCACTGACCCACCACGACCCACCCACTCAACCATCCACCCACTGACCCACCACGACCCACCCACTCAACCATCCACCCACCCTTCCACCCACTGACCCACCACGACCCACCCACTCAACCATCCACCCACCCTTCCACCCACTGACCCACCATGAATCACCCCCCCTCCTCTCTCTCCTCCCAACCCATCCTACCTTCCCTCTTTACCTTCCAAACGATCCTTGTCTCCCTCTCTCCTCCTTCCCCCAAAACGACCCTGTCTCTCCCTGTCTCCCTCTCTTCCTCTCCCTTTCCTCCCACCCTTCGCTATCATCACTCTCCCGCCTCTCCTCCCTCCTCCCTCCGTTCGCTCTCATCCTCCCCCCCCCCTCTCCTTCCTCCTCCCTCCGTTCGCTCTCATCCCTCCCCCCCTCTCTCAATCCTCCCTCCCTTCGCTCTCCCCCCTCTCCCCCTCCTCCCTCACCTGTCATCACCGTGGCTTCAGCTATTGCCCTCGGCGGCAAGAACCTCAAACAATGGCAATAACACGAACAAAAACAGATAACGAATGCAGACGTATGTGGAGGGAATTCGGGAGGGAGAGGGGAGAGAAAGAGAGAGAGAAAGAGAGAAAGAGAGAGAGAGAGAAAGAGAAAGAGGGAGAGAGAGAGAAAGAGAAAGAGGGAGAGAGAGAGAGAGAGAAAGAGAAAGAGAAAGAGAGAGAGAGAGAGAGAGAGAGAGAGAGAGAGAGAGAGAGAGAGAGAGAGAGAGAGAGAGAGAGAGAGAGAGAGAGAGAGAGAGAGAGAGAGAAGGGGGGAGGCGGAAGGAAGGAAGGAAGCACCTATATAGGTTATCTGTGAGGTTTCTTCTCTGTAACTTTTTACCTTTAATCACGTCTATATCAATAGTGGCGGAGATGGTAATGAGGAGGAGGACTGGAATGCAGATGGTAAAATTTTGGAAGCTCTCTTTTAAAGGCTCCATATTTTGGAGGCTCTATTTTAAGGGTTCTATATTTAGGAGGCTTCATTTTCTCTTATTCTGGAGGCTCTATCTTGTCTATTTTGGAGTGCCGTCGCAGGGAATACAGATCGTGTGGCCGGTGATGGTGACAGTCATGGTGGAACTGATTACGATAGACTAATGGTAGCCTAGTGGTAATATTTATGATACCTGATAATAGCATTCAGGGTGATGTTGATGATAGCATGGATAATAATAACTATTACTGATATGACAATAATGATAATAAAAATAAGAAATAATAATAATTAGTATAACAACAACAACATCAAAATGAAAAAAAGAACAACATCAGTAATAGTAATAACCTTCCTCCTCATCATCACCACCACCTCCATACAGAAAATGAAGAAGAGAGAGAGAAAAAAACAAACAAACTTTTAAAGCATAACATGACCAACAACAACAACAAACGCTGCAAAACATCAATCGCAGAGTCAACGGCAGACACCCCTCCGGAGACAAATATGCCTTTGAGACCTTTGAGAGATGCTTTGAGAGATGCTTTGAGAGATGCTTTGAGAGATGCTCCACCCGCTGCCCCCGCCATTACTCTTCCCCCCCCCCCCTTGCCTTTCCGACTCCCCTTATTCACCTTTTCACTTCCTTCTCTTTCCTTTCCCTCTTTTCCCTTTTCCCTTTTCCCTTTCCTCAACCCTTCCCACCCTTTCCCTTCACCTCCTCCCTTCACTTTTTTCCACCCCCTCCTCCTTCCCCACACCCATCCCCTACTTTCCTCCCCAATCCCCCTCCTCCCTCCCCTTCCCCTTTCCCCCTCCCCCTCCTCCTCCCTTCGGCCTCAATAACCACAATCTACGCGCCAGAGAAAGAAAAACAACGAATACGATAGATACCGGTGCATAACGTACCAGGTGACGTCCAGTCAGCTGGTATCGATCACGTGATATCGATCAGCTGGTGCACGGGAGGAAAAAAAGTGGATAGGGGGAGAGGTGTGTGTTAGGAGGAGAGACATGAGGTGGGGTGGGGTGGAGAGAGAAGGGGAAGGAAGGGGAAGGAAGGGGAAGGAAGGGGAAGGGAGGGGAAGGAAGGGGAAGGGAGGGGAAGGAAGGGGAAGGGAGGGGAAGGGAAAGGGAGGGGAAGGGAAAGGGAGGGAAGTAAGGAGAAGGATGGGAAGCGAGGGAAAGGTAGGGAAGGGTAGGGAAAGGAAGAGGAAGGAAGGGGAAGGGAGGGATACGTAGGGGAAGGGAAGGAATGGGAAGGAAAGGAAATGAAAGGAAACGGAGAGGAGGGGAGGAGAGGGGAGGGGAGGGGAGGAGAGGGGAGGAGAGGGGAGGGGAGGAGAGGAGAGGAGAGGAGAGGAGAGGAGAGGAGAGGAGAGGAGAGGAGAGGAGAGGAGAGAGGAGAGGAAAGGGGAGGGGAGGTGTGATGACAAGAGGAAGGACGG